ATTAGGTATTTTTTTCCTGCCATTGAATTGGTATTAAAAAGCGCCTGCTATATAGTAACACTACTGGACACAATCAGAAAATATTGGATATCGTTTAAACAAAACTGCATGAATGGGTAGAAATCCTCACTCCTATAGTCGTGTATTCTGTCCGTATATAGAAATTTACATTGGATGTATACTCACATCTGAAGCTTTTTCAAACAGCGTCGACAAAACGGTCAAATATTTTGATCAAAATCTTGTGACAAAACAGCTGTTAATATTCTGCCTTCATGCGCTTTCAACGAGTGTTGTTGCTTTAATTTACCTCGTGGGAGAATCGTCACGATCTTCGTAGATAAACTATTAATAACTTTCATATGAATGGCTTTCATGCATGCATTATCTTATTCATATAATTAGATACGCATATTCATGTAGTATAATAAAAAAGTTCATTACATTTGTGTTGGAGGTAAGCCATCCTACACTGATTGCTACAATTTTTATTTCAAAACAGTATGGTGGAAAAAAACGGAGTGCGGAGTACGGAGTATATGCATGGAGTACGAACAGCTCTTTCTAAAAAATGTTTATAGAAGCTCATTATTCGTTTAACACTACTATAGACCCCTATTTTCAAACATGAAGATTATCTAATAAGTGCTTATCTAAGCTCAATATTCGTATTAAGGCCGGTCATTTTTTATTGCGGACGTGGCACCGAAGAGAAATGTTTTTCTTGGTAAATATTTTGCGGATTAAAAATTTTTTACCTAACATCAAATATCAATTAAAAAATAAATACCGGCCCATCCCTGGCCAAAAACTTGACAAAATGATACTATTCAGTTGTGACACATGTTTACCTCTTCTGTGACGCGCGAGTTTGATAATTGCTTGCGCAATTTTCTGCAGTTTAACGTTTCATGTTGTCTGCACATGTACTTTCTTTGGAGACACCGTTTGCCTGCTAATGAGAAATTGGAAAATGATCAAGATAGTAACCGGCTCTGAATGATTTGCATATATGATTGTTAACATTGGATTTTAGTCTTTAATATTGGAGTCTGCATGTCATGCTTTATTTGGATATGAAAATAAATTCTTGTTACCCAACCCTTGAGTTGTTTTGTTTTTCATTTACCCAACATTTTGTACTCACACAAAATTTTATTCACCCAACTATTCCACTTCGCTGCCTCCCCCCCGACAAAAAGAATGACCTTGAAACTATGACCCATAAACCTTTTAAACACGCGCATGCAGTCCGTGTATCTAAAAGTGTTTATCTAGTAACCTCGACCATCGTTTTCAACTAGACTTCGTCTTTTCCACTTTGCGGGGAAAGGGCGGAAAACACGCCTTAAAAGTACTTATCTTAGTTTATTATTAATTTTCAACTAAGGCCATGGGAATGAAGGTTATAGATTTGCCTGAACCGCCTGCATGCTCCGAAAACTACCGCCTAAAATTTTCATTATATATATATATATATATATATATATATATATATATATATATATATATATATATATATATATATATATTCTATGTCCTTTAAGGTCATATTGAGCGCTCTACAGGATGAGCCATTGCCGCTTACGTATTGCGCACGCTCACTGCTTGCAGTTTGAGCGCTCTGGCATGGTTTTGATGTCCCAAAATCGTGAGGCATCAAAGCCGGTAACCGTAAATAGCAGTTACTTTCATCCTGCTCATCAGCAATCAGCACTACACAAATAAGGCTCATAAGGCCGAATTATGTATTGATTACAATGAAATGAACATATCGCACTATGTTTGTCCTCAGTATCCACATTCGTATGAAATTCCGACTTATATTTACCGAAATGGCGAAATTGGTACACAGACCTTCAGTGTTGCGAACGCGTGAACTCGTTACATTACTGATATATGTAATTCTACGGCGTTAACGGTAATTGGTGTTTTATCTCTGTATTTACCGCCAAAACAATAGTCAAAAATAATAAATAATGAAAAAAGCCTCATGCTTTTTAAAATTCAGACCCGGACGCGGCAGATCTATGACTTTCATTCTCATTGCCTAACCGGCATATATGCGAAAGGAACGTTTTAAATACATTTTGAAATTTATTATCTGCATTTTACCGGAAACAGACCCGCGATACTCCCCTTAAATTAATGCCACAGCGTAGCAACGGCAAAGAAGCCCAACTTGAATCCTTCATTTCTTTTGAATCATTTAAATAAAAAACGGTAGTTTTGGCGAGGAAAACTAAATATTTTTTTGGTATTAAAATGATACGAAGATCAAACTAAGTGCAAACATGTTATAGATTTTATGCCAATATTTGGTTGGGTTCAATTTGGTGGGGTACTGTGCATAAAACGTCAACATTACGATCGACGTTTCCAGCAGACAATTTACTTTGTTTATTGGAATTTTTTACAATGTTTCACACAACATTTAGGTCGTATACCTATGATTTCCCATCATTCTGGTGAAAAAATCTATATTATTTTTGTATTTTACACGATTCTAATTATTTTTTGTTTTATTTTAGACAACCTATATGGACAAATAATACAACTTTTATTAATAAACCCATGGTGATCAGATTTGGTCATTTGGCTGATCATAGTTTCCAACATAATTGGTTGAGGAAGGTTGCGATTCAGGCTCAAGGTGATGCAAGAAATTTTGGAAATCGCTCTGCATGATATGAGATATGATCATGATATGCGATTTGTGCAGTGAGTCAATCAGATTGCAGAAAACCCCATTGATTTCAAAATGAATATAATAAATTATATAAAAGAAAACACAGTTCAAAAATAAACGTACGTATTAATGAAAAATCGAACACGTGTTTGGATTATAAATATTTCGCCAAACACAAATGTAATTTTTCATTAATACTTCGAGAACAAGTGTAATTTACTATTAATATCACTTTATAGTCAATTTTACACGAGCAATCAATGATAGGAAACATTGTGTTTTATTTATGAGGTAGAGGTAGTTATTATTGATCTAACACCCTCTAATGGTAATCTAGGCATGTTTGATCATAACTGATTTAGCAATCCCTAACACTGATCTACGTATGCGCCATGTCATTGATCTAACAACCCTCCATTCCAATGGTAATCTAGGCATGTCTGATCATAATTGATTTAGCAATCCCTAACACTGATCTACGTATGTCATTTCATTGATCTAACAACCCTCCAATGGTAATATAGGCATGTCACACCATTGATCTAACACCCTCCAATGGTAATTTAAGCATGTCTGATCGTAACTGATTTAGCAACCCCTAACACTGATCTACGTATGTCATTTCATTGATCTGACAACCCTCCAATGGTAATCTAGGCATGTCTTATTATTGATCTAACACCCTCTAATGGCAATCTAGGCATGTCTTATTATTGATCTAACACCCTCCAAAGGTAATCTAGGCATGTCTGATCATAATTGATTTAGCAATCCCAAACACTGACATATCTACGTATGTCATTTCGCGATCTAACAACTCTCCAATGGTAAAATAGGCATGTCATACCATTGATCTAACACCCTCCAATGGTAATCTAAGCATGTCTGATCGTAACTGATTTAGTAACCCCTAACACTGATCTACGTATGTCATTTCATTGATCTGACAACCCTCCATTGGTAATATAGGCATGTCATACCATTGATCTAACACCCTCAATAGTAATCTGAGCATGTCTGATCGTAACTGATTTTGCAACTCCTAACACTGATGTACGCATGTCATTTCATTGATTGAACACCCTCTACCGGTAATATAGGCATGTCTTATTATTTATCTAACACCCTCCATTGGTAGTCTAGGCACGTCTGATCATAACAGATTTAGCAACCCCAAACGCTGATGTACGCATGTCATTTCATTGATCTAACACCCTCTACTGGTAATATGGGCATGTCTTATTATTGATATGACAACCTCTAATGGTAATCTAGGCATGTCTGATCATAACTGATTTAACAACCCCTATTAAACACTGATGTACGCATGTCATGTCATTGATCTAACACCCTCCAATCATGATCAGATATGCCTAGATTACCATTGGAAGGTTGTTAGATCAACGATATGACATACATAGGACTAGAATAACATTTTCGATAATACGTCATGAATACATTCTTGGTCTGGGAGCCTTGCTCTCGTCAATCAAGACGGAAGGCGATTGGCTCACGATTCATGAGAATGAAGCTCCCAGGCCAATAACGTACTCGTGATGTAATCATCGAAAATATGTATTAGTGGATGTTAGTGTATTAATGAAAACGTAGACCAGTGGTAGAGAGTATTTTAAGTAACGAAAGCTTTTTGTCATTGATATAAAATACCAAAATCAGCATAAATTAAAGAGTTTTGGATTAATAGATCATGGATATGACATTCCTAAATCAATGTTAAAGAATGTTAGATCATATATTAAATGCCTAGACAAATGTCAAAGTTTGCTAGATCACTATTACTATTAGGTCCTTCCAAAGTTTGAACTTTAGAAAATAGATAATAAGCGACTACAATAAAACGTATATTGTACAATTTTTTTACAGTGGATAGGAAAATCTATTTACATTACTACTCCAAACTTTATTCATATTTTGTCTAAAGAATTGGTCGCAAAGGCTTTTACGCCGGTCGTACAGTGTAGTGATACCCGACTAAGCATTCCAGGAACTTTTTCAATGGCTTGCCTATTTCCTAGTGGAAGGTTGTAACTTGTCTGGCATAAGGTTTCAGTCAGTGTGAAATACATGGGACCATGCATTGTACGAATGTTTTTCCCCAGTAAAGTCACTTGTTTGGAATGCAGGACTTTGTAACCTTCAGTTAGTAGGACTAAGGACCAACCAGTAATCTTTGTAAGTGGTCCTGTTTGCTGTATTTAAGTTGGCTTAGTGATAGCATAGAATAACCAAAACCGTTCTTCTGCTTCGGCATAAACCGGCAAAATTAAAGGTTTTTCCTCCTGGCTGTGCTTCATGTTTTTGCCAACAGCCATGATTCGAGGTCATCTGATGAACTCTTGAACACTTGCTTCTCATCTTCACCTGTGAGCTTCCATGCTGCAGAAGCCAACTGGTTTTTCTCAATCAACATCAAATCTTTGCACTCATCTAAAGGACATTATAAAAATAAGATTCTAGGTGATTCATCAATATTGTTCTGGGAATGAGAATTTGCGGAAACTTCCCAGGGGTGAAGTTTATGATATCCTCATAATAAAAACAGATAAAAAAGTTGAGGTCACCATGCTCATTCCGACGATTTGACAAGTGCAAAATGCCCCCCCCCCCCCATATGGCACAATCTTGACCCTTTTATGAGTTATATGAACAATTGCTCAACCTTTATTGAATTTTATTAACAAGGATCCTATATATTTATATACAAGAAAACACTGTTTAGCAAAACAAAAAGCATTGACGTGCATTGTCATGGTGGCGACAAAAAGGCACGGTCAGAGACCTTCTTAAAGAAAAAAAACATGCATCATGATGTGGTTTAGTGTTAGTTGCACAGGAGCCCTAGCCAGAGTTCTATCACTTTTGAAGATATATTTCCTGAAGCACACAATATCAATGCAGAGTGATTTTCTCTTTTCTCTTACTCTTACTTTATCACTTTGTTATTAGATATGTAGCATAAAAGAGCAGAATACAAAACTGATGAATCACCACATGGTTATATTTCATGGCTGAATATTTGCATTTTATTGCTTCACCAAGACAATGATAGTAAGCCTAGGGTGAACCAGTGAACCAGGTAGAGCTTTTTGCCATCCGGCCAGAATATCCAGTCGGATATGTTTGACATATAAGCTAGGTTTGAGCTTTCAATTTATTTAAGGTAAAACAATGGTTTCAATTGACTATAAAATGGCTCGATTGTTTATACTATTTTGACTCAAACACATGGATATTTACACTTCATTATGTTGTTTAACAATAGTCAATCTTTTTATTCTAACATTTGCATGCTCTCTGTTTCATGACTGAAAGTGTCTGACTGTCTGGCAGCAGACAAAGTAACATATGACCATATGACTCAGTTCCAGTGGAACTTTCTTCCAGTTCCGGCCAGATCCAGTTCCAGCCGGAACTTTAAAAAAATGGTTTCTGGTGCACCCCTACAGGTCTAGCCTAGGAAGGCGCTTGATCGTGTGTGCATGCCTATTAACTCATTAAGCCGCAATGCGTCCCAGTGCATCCTACTTTTTTTTATTGTCTACTGCCAATGGGAAAGCTCTGCACTTTAAGGGTTAACCAAAAAATCTGACAATGTCTCTAGTTATTATGCACCTATTAATGTTAAGCCCCAGAGGGGGGGGGGGGTTCGGGCATATGTGGGGTATTTGATTATCAATTCCATCCCCACCCTGGGGATTTTGATTAGCATTTTGGCCCCGAGTTGGGGCAATTTGAACCGAATGACTGTTATTAACATAGTATTTTTTATTGCAAGATGGTGGGGCATTTGACCAATATTTATTGCCCGACGGTGGGGCATTTGATTGGAAATTTGCTCAAAAAATCAAATGCCCCACCTATGCCCATCCCCCCCCCCCTCTGGGGCTTAACATTGATAGGTGCATTAAACCCATTGAGACGTAATGTGCCCCAGTGCCCCTATAGGTGCATTAAACCCATTGAGACGTAATGTGCCCAGTGCCTCTACTTTTTTTTACTTGTCTAACGCCAGACAATTTCACTCATCAATGGAGAAACATGCATGTTACAGTAAGTTCAGACTGTCAACTAGGCATGTAATAACAATATACGAAGTAGATTCTCGCTTAAGTAGGTGCATAGAAAATAGTGCCTTGAATGCACAGTAGCTGCACTATTGATCAAGTATCTTGGTTTTCATCCAAGCAAGGCCTGATACTAGTTTATATTAGTATATTTTTGTATGTCATCTAGTGTCTTTAATAGTAAATAGTCAACATTAACATCACTATGATATCTATATTTACCTTTATAACTTGAGTCGTTGTTAAGCCAGTTTCTGCTACAGCGCTTTCGATCATTTCGCGATAATTTAGACCACCACCGACCATTCCACGGCCGTAAAACCTTTCCAAAATATCTCTCTGGTTGTCGCTTATTCTAGTTCTCTTTCCTATCTCCATTTCATTGCACAGAATCGCAAATAGACTAGAAAATCTGCTAGAAATGTTTTCAAATATGGCAGGTCAAAGCTCGAGAAGAACGTGTGATAGAAAGACGATTGTGATTGGTTTATATATAATGATATACGAAAGCGTCAGCGTCAGGTAGCGCAGGCGACAGTCTGGCACGGGTAATACCGAATATTCTCAATTGAGAACATATGGGTAATACCCGTTGAGGTGTATGCTAAACGGGTGGGTGGCATGGGTCTAACTGCTAGTAGACTATTAGACTGCTCATCCTGCAATTGATTTGAAACCCAATCGTGTAATAGATTCCTTACAGTTACTCAAACGTCGGTAACTCTGACTGTGGTAAACAATGCCATTGATTTGACACTGCTTAAACTGCCACATTCACCCCCGCCGCCGCTAAACTGCCACAACCTACATAGCATTGACAGCTAATAAGAATACAAACTGTTTTATATATGTGTATTATATTTTATACAATTTTAAACGATAATATACCTGTCAACCATGGTACTGCATTGCTAGTTTTCAGCTAATTTGATATTATTTCATTACTATTTTTTAACTGGTTTTATAATTATCATACTGCAATTTTATTACTTTATAAAGTAACTATGTTGCAGTGCTACTATTTTTATATAGCTATTTTATTGTTATTTTATAACTATTTTATTGCTTCATTCTGACTATTTTATTGCTATTTTATGACTATTTTACTATTCTTTTATTGCTATTTTATAACTATTTTATTACTACTTTCTGACAATTTTATTACAATTTTATTACTATTTTTATACTATTTTATAAGAATTTTGAACTATATTTTTACTATTTTGTTCGCTATTTTATCACTATTTTAAATTCTACTATTTTATTACTATTTTATCAGTATTTTATTCATATTTTTAAACTATTTTATTACTATTTTTGCAGTAATTTTATTACTATTTTTAGTTAATATACTGCAGTTGATCCACTATTTTATATGTATTTTCGACTATTTTTAACCTATTTTATGTATATTTAAAATCTATTTTATCACCAATGTTTCACTTTACTTTATTATTTTATTTCTATTTTGCACTCTATTGTAAATATATTTTATCCTATTTTAAACCTATTTTAATCTGTGCTTCACCGATTCAGAAAAATAAAATCTATTTAAAATAGGCTATTTTTTGTTTCAAAAAAACCTATTTATAATAGCTATAAAATACAATTAAAACAGAGTTCTAATAGGTTTAATATAGGATTTGTATATGTGATAGCAATATGATAGGGTTAAAAATAAAATAGCTTTTCTATAGGAATAAAATAGAAAGTAAAATAGGGATAAAATAGGGTTATAATAGTGTTGATTTTCGCAAGCGCGTGAATCGAATATTTTCTATTTGTAAATATCGTGTGGTAGTCACATTTGGCAATTAACATTCTGAGACTACGACTCTATGAGTAAACAAACGAAAAATTATGTGTGTATTTTGGATTCAATAGCTTAACCAGCATTGGCATATATTGTATATGCAAGACTTTCGTACTGTATATAATTAATATTCATATTTTTTCCAAGTAATATATAATTTTGAATACTTCATAAGTTTGATTTTCCCCCCAATTTTTTTCTAAAATAATGTGGTTTTTTTCCACTTCAACATTTGTCATGATCATAGCCGGACAGGGCTGGGGAGGGGGGGGGGCACTGGGGCAGATGTCTCCCCAGTCAAAATGAAGTCGACCAAATTATAAACATAAGTCGGGCAAAAATTGGGGAAAATAACTTTAAAAAGAAGACATATGCAATATAGTAGTTGAAAATACAAAAGAATTGGACATCGGGAAAGGGCATCAGCATTTGCATTGTTTTTTCTCCAACGGTGTTGCAATTCGAAATCGTACTCAGCTAGGCGCATTGCCCAACGAGCTAAACGGCTCTTTTGTGGGCTAACAGCTTGGAGCCACTGAAGATTTGCATGATCCGTTTGAATAAGAAATTTACGTCCCCAAAGATAACGATGAAATGTCTCGCAAGCCCAAATAAGGGCTAACAGTTCCTGTTCACGGGTTGTCCATTTGGACTCTGGAACTTGAAGAGCTCGACTAGGATAACGTACGGGATGTTCTTTGTTGTCAGGTCCAATTTGTGATAACACGGCTCCGAGGCCTTTAGATGATGCATCAGTCTGGACAATAAAGTTACGCTCCCAGTTGGGATGATGAAGAAGAAACTTGTCCGAGCATAAGGCATGTTATAAGGAATCAAATTCCTTCTGTTCTTGATCTTCCTAATGGAAAATACTTTGACTCTTGAGTAGTTTTCGGAGGTTAAAAGAGGACGTTGCGAAATGTGGTATGTGTTCAGGATAATATCCGGCAAGTCCAAGAAACTTTTGAACGTCTGATACACAAATTGGTCGAGGGAAAGACGCAACAGCTTGTATTTTATCTTTATCTGGCGTACGACCGTCTTTGGAGATTACATAGCCGAGAATTTCCTGGCTATGGACTTTGAAGGTTTAAGCGAAAGACCTACTTTATCACATCGCTTCAAAACACGTTCGAGGTGGGTAAGGTGGTCGCTCCATTTGGTACTGTGACACAATATATATATCATCCACATAGGTCGACAGGTAAGGGGCTTCGTCAGCATGGAAAAGCATGTCGGCAAAAGTGGAGTTAATTAGACGCTGAAAACTAGCAGGGGCGTTACGGAAACCGAATGGAAGTTTTTTGAACTGATAAAGTCCAACATGATCATGAGTTATAACCGCTGTTTTCTCTCTGTCCTTTGGGGTGATCGGAATGGGCCAAAATCCAACTTAGTGAACCATTTCTTTCCACCTAGTTGGTCAAGAATCATTTGCACATGAGGAAGTGGGTAGACATCAGGTTTTGTAACTTTGTTCAGTTTTCGATACTCCCAAACAAGACGGGGGGTCACTTGTACACCACGTTCCGTTTTCTTTTTAACCAATAAACAAGGGGCACCCCAGGGAGATGTCGATGGTTCTAAAATGTTTTGTTCAACCATTTTTTGAATTTCTCGTTTGATAAGCTGTAATTGAAAAGGAGAGTGGGAATATGGCGTTGAGTTTGGGGTTTAGCATCACCAGTCTCAATACTGTGTTCGACATGGTTAACTCCGCTAAATGGAGCTCCTGGTAACATAAAAACATGGGCATGTTCGCGAATAAGAGTCTCAAGTTCAGTTTTTTGTGTAGTGGTGAGATTGCAATTGTCATGCAAATGGTGGCTTCAACAACTATATCTTTGTAATCTTCAGAGAAAGAATCTAACATGGTGTCACTTAAAGGAGGTAAATCACCGCTCTCATCACTCAATATCAAATGATTTGAACAGTAAAGGCTAGTTAATTGACTAAAACTTGATTCATTGTTTTTACGAAACGCAATATTCATCTCCTTCTGGGCACGGAGTGCGTTAAAACTTTGAAATGGATGGGGTAAAGTATCATGATAAACTTTTGCTTGCTTGTGTTGAGCTTTACGGTAAAGGTTTTCATGTTATTATATACTTCTTGCTCAAGTCAGGAATTTCAACAGAATCAGCTGCAACGGATGGCATGCCAAATAGGGGAAAATCACTGGCTGGTGGGTTATTGTCAGCAGGGGTGGTGGGTGGTGGGTGGTGGGTGGTGGGTGGTGGGTGGGGTAGAGGGTTTTGGATTTGGAAGTACAGTTTCCAATTTAGAGCAAAGACTAGCAAATTGTGCCTGAAACTTACTTGATAGCTTTTCTTCCAGTTGACTTAGTGTAGGCAACATATCTTCTTTATGTGACAGATGTTTACATTCCTTCTTTTTGCAAACCAGGCACACATGTTGTCGATGAAACTTGCATTGATTATCAGGAAGTAATCAGCGAGGAACAGCTCGTTGATTCCACTGGAGGCACACTTCGGTTTGACTGGTTGTATTTCCACGACATGTTTGTTTTCGTTCTTGGTTTGTTCCAGGATTGTACAAAGCAGGACAGTTTCTTTTGAAATGACCAGGTTGATTACAGTTGTAACAGGATTTGGGTCTTAACATTGCTTTGTCTTCACGAAGTGGGTCAACATAGTCTGCTGAAAGGAGAGGTAATGGGGAAAACTTTGTTCAAATCTGTTAGCAGCTTCAATAACTTCCGATAGAGAAGAATACTTGGCGTCTCGGCTCATCAGAGCTTTCCCAATTTCCGGTCGAAGTTTTATCAAAAATGCATGTCTCAGTTCGATATCATCATTCTTGCCTGTATTGTGTATTCCAGGAATACATTTCTCGTGTTCGTGTTGAATATCACAGAATCGATGAGCAAAAGTTGAAACAGGTTCTGCTTTATTTTGTTGGAGGTTGTAGTAGACTTGAAGTAACTCACGTATACGTTCATCTTTAGGTTTTCCACGTTTCTTAATTAACGATGCTTTGACAAGGTTAAAGTACGTTTCATACTGTTCGATAGTAATATTGGTAGGGTCCTCTCCAAGAGCATGTTTACATTCTTCTTCAGCAAACACAACAGAATCATAAGCATGTAAATCTTGCTTCACCTGTTGCTTAAGATAGGTTGTCCAATGTTAATTTAGCTGGAACTCCAGAAGATTTTAATAGCGTCGTAAGCTGGTCAAGAAAACGGTCAAATTGTTCGTCAGGCTTACCTATACTGTATAGCGAGGTAAAACCACTTGAGGCAACTTCAAAGTGTCAACATGGCTTGAACTTGGGGAATTTGTGGCTAAATCTGCGACAGTTTCGCGAGTGCTTTGATGTGTTGTCGACTTCAGCGTCAGCTAGTCCTTTAGCGATCGCTGTGAGTTCCTCAACTGTCGCCATACTGTATTTAGTTCTTCTTACAAACAAGAATCCTCTAAAAATCCTCTAAAATTGTGTTAAAACGATTTGCATCATCCACCAATTGTAGTAGTCAAAGTGTATAAACATACAGTTTATTAACATCAACAACAATATAAACAATACATAAACAATAAACGAAATAATATAGTTTTCTTCTACGACATTATCCGCTAATATAAACTAGCAGCCATTGAGTCCATGTGCTCTGTCTCCACCTGTTCGCAAGTTGGACTTCCCTATAATCCAACTGTACCCAGCTTAGGGCCTGTTCATATGTTCCCGCTTACCGAGACGTCTCGCTTACCGATGATTCGCCGCCTAGTTATTTTCCTACAAAATTTTGCATTGTGTTTATATGAGAAAGCGAGCTGGCCCGCTTTCCGAGATCTCATTTGAATTTGCCGAGATCATAGGTAGGCGGGATGAAAAATTTTCAATATGAACACGCCAGCCCTCTTACCGGGAAGAAGTTAAATACGTCTTGCCGTTTAATTTAACACTTTTTACTCAGTTTTATATTTGTTTTGTATGTTACGAGGCTTTATTTAATTTAAGTAGTGAATCGTTACAATCAACCTCTAATAACTATCAGTTCTTAATATAATGTTCGTCTTCTTGTAGTAGTTTCCTAAAGTTCACTTCACTGAGAATCCACTGACGAATTTCGGTTGTGCACGCACTTTTATACTAACGGTTGAGGGATCTTTGTACACGTGATGTAGCAAGTGGTGTGATTTGTATCCAGCCAATCAACGTTGAGGTTTAAAAGTGTGGGTTGGCGTTGGTAGCTCGTTCCAGCCCTCAAATTCTGTTTATTTAAGGCGTTGTCGCACTTGTCGAGTCGATTCGCTGTTCAATCGATCAATATTAAAATATGTTCACAACTTAAAATACTTATCAAAATATCATAGTAAAAACTTCAAACTATACCTATGTGAACTTTACTTTACCTACTAACCTAAATTCACTTACAATTTTATTGAACCAAGATTTTGATGACGTAATGTTATCATTACTCGACCGCGCGAAATATACCGAAGAATGATTGACAGAAATGCCCTAAGCATGCACATTTTCATGTCAGAGAAGAACCAGCCTTGGACTTTGAATTATGTAAACACAACAGCCCACCATGCAAGGTTATCGTCCAACTTTGACAAATTGACGAATTATTTATCTTGCCTAATGGACAGATAATTGACACTTTTGCACATGTCCGAAATGATATATACTTTATCTGCGTTTTACACAGGGGGTCCAACTAAGAACTGTGTTATGAATATGAATAAAACATTAATTAAAAGTAATATGAATAAAACATTATAACGTAATATATTTAAATTATTGCACTTACTTGTATAAATCATAAGAGCTTGCCTTTGCACTGAATAGTTTCAAACAGAGCGCTTATATATGCTCAGAATGATTGCTTCGAACGATTGTTGGTCTTTGTTCAAATATGGCGAATAAATTGACAAAACGAAAATATTACATGACGTTCCAACGAAAATAACAGCAGGGATTGCGGGCGCGCGAGCGAAAAGGCGAGGGAAGAAATAAATAAAAGGGATGAAACAAATATCACGTGACTTTTTAAAATGCTTCTAGACTATCCGTTTAAGCTTTTTGTGGTTTTTTAAGGCTCAGTCGATGTTCTCTTACATGAACAAGCCTAGTCATTACCAAAAAAGCACTGATCAATCTAATTTATGTGATTTATAACAGCGAGCATTCTTGGCCATTTTCGCGAGATGTGTTCCATAAGTAGCCTGTTCTCGTGACGTATGACGAAATAATAATAAATCTAAATAATGTAAAAAAACCCGTTGGTCGCTACATTTAAATATTTCATATTAGCCGGTATAGCTAAACATTGTTTATTTTCATTAATTAAGCGCTTAGGCGTTGTTGGAGTTGGCAGGAGGCGTTTTGGAATTTTCCGAGAGAACAGGCTACTTATGGAACACATCACACGATCGCATTACCGGTGTTTCATCCCTTCTATTAATATCTATTACCCTCGCCTTCCGCTCGCGCCCGCAATCCCTGCTGTTATTTTCGTTGGAACGTCATGTAATATTTTCGTTTTGTCAATTTATTCGCCATATTTGAACAATCTTTCGAAGCAATCATTCTGAGTATATATAAGCGCTCTGCAAAGGCAAGCTCTTATGATTTATACAAGTAAGTGCAATAATTTAAATATATTACGTTATAATGTTTTATTCATATTACGTTTAATTAATGTTTTATTCATATTCATAACACAGCTCTTAGTTGGACCCCCTGTGCGTTTTACAGCAAAAATGCTCATTATCTCTCCATTTGATGTAACTAGTATCTATAATTACCTGGGGTGCAAACTGAACTATTTTTATACTATTTATATATACTTTCATAACAATCCTTCCCACCTGGATTAAGCTGCCCTCAGCTTTTGAGATATATAAAAATAAATGACTATATATTGTTCATAATGTTTTAAGCTCTGCGTGGCTAAACACGGGCATATTACCAAATGACTAATAACTGAGTCCATACATATAGTACGTGTTAAATGACTAATTATATATGTTAACACTACATAAGAGATTATACAAGAAATATTATAGCCTACTTATGCCTAAATGCACCTCAGGGGTAAACTACAATAATATATTTTAGCTATTACACATGAGAATAAGGTAAGTCCCTCCAAAATGAATGTGAAAACAAAGCACAACATTGTTTGTTTTCCTGAAAGTATATGTACCAGGGACTAAAAATGATTTTGTCGATTCAATCAAAAACGTCTGCCAAAACTGATTTAATTTTCATAACATAACTTACTTTTGCAACAGCGAAAATTTTGTTCAAATTCTTGGTTGATAAACTGTACACAACAGGAGATTATTATAAAGCTCTTCTGATATAATATCTCTATAATAATAACCTAAAACTGAATATTTACTTTAAATATTCCTTAATATACTTCCTAATAAACATCTTAAACTTCAAATATTTTTCAAATACATGCAACAACATTTTTATACTTCTTAATAACTCAATTTTTTTAAATTTAACTAACGTCATGCGTAGCGTCTCAAACTCCAAAATGTAGGTTTTCATCCGACAGAAAAGTTTACCCGAATCTACATAGAGAAAACAAGAATGTGCTTAATATTTAAGCTTTTGGCTTGAAAAGAAATTAACACGTTCTACGATAGGGTTGCATATTCTATTCAGCTCAAAATTAGACAAATCTTACGATTTGATGAAGAATTTGCAATAAATGTTGAAAATTTTGGATAAAGGTTGCCAAAAATTGCAAATATCATAACGTCTCCGAGGCTGTGTGGCAATATTTTCAAATGATCGTTTCATTTAACAAGAAATTTTAAACCAACTGTTTAGACGAAAAGTCTATTTCAACTGCATTGCAGTATGGAAAAAGTATAAACTTATTTTTTATGAGAACGATTACAATTTTCAATAATAATGTCCAGAAAGTTAATTGTTATGTCATGCACAATTCGCGCATTTATTGTGTAATTAGCAA